TGTCCTTTGTCCAGGGATCCCTCCAGGCGGTTAATCATGGAAACGGCCATCAGTCATCTTTTAGAGATTCAGGCCATTCAACCTGTTCCCCAGGACCAATTCGGCCGAGGGTTTTATTCCCGTTTGTTTGTTGTGAGAAAATCTTCAGGGGGATGGAGGCCCATTTTGGACTTAAAGTCCCTGAACCGTCACGTCATTTATAGATGGTTTAAAATGCAATCTCTCCAGACTATCTTGGAGAGCGTTAGGGAGGGGGACTTCCTTACTTCCGTGGATTTGACAGAGGTTTATCTCCATGTCCCCATTCATCCAGATTTCAGACAATATCTCCACTTCCATTATGCGGGGAAACATTTTCAGTATCAGGCCTTACTCTTCGGGCTGTCGTCTGCCCCCAGGGTCTTCACTAAATTGATGGCAGCTTTGGCTGGCTATCTTAAAACCCTTCCAATACGGGTTCAATTCTACCTGGATGATATTCTTATACAGTCCAGTCGAAGGCTCTGGCATGGAGAGACTTAGCTACCACTATGCAGGTGTTCCAGGACCATGGCTTTTCTATCAACCATGCCATAAGCTACTTGGAACCTTCCACAAGGCTACTCCATCTTGGGGCAGTCATTGATATGGTAGAGTCTAGGGTTTTTCTTTCCCAGGACAGACAGGTTAGCCTGAGGGAGTTGACACGACAGGTCAGGGTGCAACATACAGTTCCCCTTCTTTTGCTCTCTCAGCTCTTAGGGAAAATGGTTTCAGCCATTGCTATCACACCTTGGGCTCGCCTCCACAGCAGGGATCTGCAGTGGTTCTTACTTCCCTTTCAAAGGTCAGGCACCAGTACCTTCCCAAATAAGGTTCGGGTGCCATTGGAGGTTCTCCACTCGCTCAGCTGGTGGGATTCCAAGGCCATCACTAAGGGGATGCAGATTCAGGGAACCTCATCACTTGGTACTCACCATGGACGCTAGCCTCTGGGGCTGGGGTGCCCACCTAGGTCTCACATGATCCAAGGAAAGTCAACGCAGACAGATTTGACTCACAACATAGATTGGTTGGAGCTCCGAGCTATTCACCTGGCCCACCAAGCTCTCAAGGATATAGTGGTAGGCAAGGACATTCTGATTTTGACTGACAGTGTGGCTGCTAAGGGGGCACCCAGTCCAAGACACTGATGGCCGAGGCCAAACAATTAGGACTTTGGGCGGAGGCCCATCTTCCTTCCCTGCGAGCAGCTCATATCACAGGGGCAGCAAATGTGCAGGCGGACTGGCTCAGCCGGGCTTCAGTCGACCATTCAGAGTGGCGCCTGCATCCGTCCCTATTCCAACTACTTGCAGACCAGTTTGGTCTTCCGATGGTCGACCTATTTGCTTCACAGGACAGTCATAAGGTCCCGAGAATTTTTACCAGATTTCCAACTCCGACCGCAGAAGCAGTGGATGCCCTTCGCAGTCCATGGCCGCCCAGCCTGTTGTATGCTTTTCCTCCTCTTCCATTGGTTCCCAGAGTCATAAGGAAGATGCTTGAAGAGGAGGCGGAGTTACTTCTTCTAGCTCCGCATTGGTCCAGGTGGCCATGGTTTGCACACCTAGTGGACCTGTCAATGGCTCAGCCCTGGCGGCTCCCTCAGCACAAGGGACCCTCAGCCAGGGGGCGCTGATCCACCCGGACCCCCAGTGGTTCCAGCTAACCGCCTGGCGCTTGAGCAGCGCCTGTTGAGTGGGGAAAATATTTCTTCTAGGGTCATTACGACCATCCAGGCTTCTCGTAGAGACTCTACTTCTCGTATTTACGATGCTACCTGGCGGGCTTTTTGCCTTTGGTGCACATGGAAGGGGTTGGTTCCCACTGGGACTTCTATAGCTAACATTTTGGACTTCCTGCAGGAAGGGTTAGATAGGGGTTTGGCTCCCAATACTCTTTGGTGACAGGTTTCTGCCCTGCCTTCGGTTTTGACATGTGGGTCAAAGGACACTTTATCTCAGCACCCGGTGATTAGACAGTTTCTCCAGGGTGCCACAAATCTTCGACCTCCAGTAGTGCACAGATTCCCCATGTGGAACCTGACTAAGGTTTTGAATTTCCTTATGTGGGCTCCCTTTGAGCCATTGAGGGATTCCAGTCTTTGACTATTATCTTATAAGGTAGTATTTCTGGTGGCTATAACTTCAGCCAGACGCATTTCTGAGCTGGCCACCCTATCCATTAGACAAGACCTCTGTGTTTTTCACTCAGATAGAGTGGTACTATGTTTAGATTCCACTTTTATACCAAAGATTAATACATGGTTTCACAGGGCGCAGGAAATAGTTTTACCCAATTTTTGTCCTGCTCCAGTCCACCACTTGGAATGTTGGTGGCACGCGTTAGATGTACGGAGGGCTCTACATCTCTATGTGAAGAGAACCGCTCCCATAAGGAAGACGGAATCTCTATTTGTTTCCAACCCAGTTTCATGGGGTCTAAGGTCACATCCTCCACTATAGGGAGATGGATCAGAGTGTGCATCGCCATGGTGTATGAGGCTGTGGCGTTGCCAGTCTCTAGACAAATTACAGTCCATTCTACTCAAAGCGTGGCTACCTCAGCCACTTGGGCTACGCAGGCCTTGTTAGTGGAAGTCTCCAGGGCTGCTACCTGGACATCCCCCTCTTTTTATCCGCCATTACAAGTTAGATGCTTACGCTTCAGCAGACACTGCCTTTGGCAGAAGGGTTTTGCAGACAATTTTTACGGGGCAGGACGATCTGGACCGGACAGCACCCTCCCAATAGGACTTCCAGCTTTGGTATGTCCCATTCCTGGATGATGTTTCCAACCGATCTGGAGAAGGGGCATTGGACTTACCTGGCATGCTCCTTCTCAGCGAGTTGGAAACATCAGCCAACCCCGTCCGGTTTGCATCCGGTCCTGCGACCCTGGCGTGGATGTTTGTGTTTTATTCACAGATTCACACACCTGTCTGCATCATTGCCTTCGTCAGAAACTGGGGAGCTACAGGCGGGCGTGGCTAAGCAAATTGCAGACTCAGCCCATCTATTGGTAGACGGAGTTAACCCATCCCTGGCTGATGTTTCCAACTCGCTGAGAAGGAGCGTGTCAGGTAAGTCCAATGCCCCTTCAGCCTGATTACCTGGGAGATGCCTGATTGCAGCACAGGCGAGGCAGCGCTCATGAGCATAGATCCACAGCGCTAGCCTTGAGGCGCGAGGAAGGCCTGCCATGTCATTTTGAAGCCTGGAAAAGCCACCGGAGCCGAAGGTGGGTGTGACAGTAGGTTGAGTCACATGGACCCCCACCGTGCCCCTAAGCTCCCAGACTCGGATTGTGACAAAAGGCAGTGTTCATGAGCCTAGCTTTGCTGAATGCAGCGAGATTCACAGCCAAGTCCATCAGCTCGTCCGTGGCAACCCGACGTCTCCTAAACTATGCCAGTGGCAAGCCGATGCCAGGAAGAAGTGGAGTCTGGCATACCCCCATATCCTGGGGATAAATTGTTTGGGGACTGCCTGGATCCCATTCTAGTTGAGTCCAGTGACAAGCGCAAGATTCTGCCATCCATGTCCTGGAGGGCAGACTCACGTCCGTCCCCTTATTTTTGCCCCTCGTCCTTTAGTGGTCCGGATAGCTGATTCGGAATGCTGCGTTTACAAAGGCCCTTTCTTCCCAGACAAGGACAACATCAGGAGAGGCAGCGTAGGCAAGGGCAAAGGTACCCACCCAAAAGGTCCTTTTGAGGTGGGAGGGGTCGCCCCTTTCAGCACTCGAGGTGACTGCTCGTCCAACCCTCCCATCAGAGATCGCCTGGCCTTCTTTGCCAGCCAACGGGAGGACATCACCACGGATGCCTGGGTCAGGGAGATGGTGAGGTCGGGCCTCTCCCTGGAATTCTTCCGCACCCCCCCCAAGGTTTTTCATCCGTTGCCCTGTGTCAAAGGACCAGACGAAGGAGCTCCTCATGGAATTGGCCATACAACATCTCTTGGATATTCAGGCTATCCAGCCGATTCCAGAGGGGCAGCAGGGATAGGGGTTTTATTCCCTACTGTTCGTAATCCCAAAGGCCTCGGGGGAATGGAGGGCAATTCTGATAACTCTTTGACTGGTGCATTGACTTTGAATGCTTCTGAGGACAGAGCTGTTTATACTTAACAATGGGTTACTTTTTATGGATGACTAATAGATAAAGAAGGCTAAATGTTGTGTTTCATGAGATTGAAACAGTGCCATGCTTTCTTTAAATACTACAGTATATAACTGCAAATTAGCAAGCATTTTGGCAAGGACCTCTTGGGACAATATCCCTTGCTTAGTTACACTTATCATTTATGATTCTGCCACTACTGATTGAATTTCTTCAAGTTATATTATTTGATTAGAATGTCAATTATTACTTGCTGTAGGCAAACAAGAATGCCCTATAGTTTTTTGAAAAGCTAATTTAATATACTTAGTAATCTTAATTCCTAGTGACTACATTGATAAATAATTTTCTTGTAATAGTATAGAAATGGTTTGCTATTGTTTACTTAAGGATTGTCTTCAGATTTCCTGGTTTAGTCTACACATCTAACATTCCTTAGAAATGTATGATTCTACATCTAACTTTCCTTAGAAATCTCTGATAGCATAACTTTCTGGCTTTTTAATATAGGCATGGTTGCTAAATGCTATCATTGTAGCATTTAATTTACTTGATAACTTTACTTGTTTAGAAATAAGTATGCTTTGTGCATCTTATGCCTAAGTGCTATTTAGTGTATTTAGGCATAAAGAAAATTCTGCTCACTTCTAATGCTGTTTTGATGATGTTTATAGTAGATTGTAATAAAATAAGGATTCCTGAAAATAGGAGATATTATTAACTACGTGTCCCTATTGAATATCAGGGACCGTCTTCCAAAGTTTGTTTCACTCAGCAAGATTTTCCATTCTGTGCAGCTTTTTAGGCAGTGTCAGTTCCAGCATTAGTTCTTAAATATTTATTCCTGTTTTTAAAGCCATATCCAGAAGATCCAGCAGTATACAAACCACTCTCCCAAGAAGAGCTGCAGAGGATAAAAAACGAAAAGAAGCAGAAACAAAATGAGAGAAAACAGAAGATATCAGAGAATCGTAAGCATCTGGCCAGTGTACGGGTTGTACAGAAGAATCTTGTTTTTGTAGTAGGTTTATCCCAGCGTCTAGCAGATCCAGAGGTAAGCTGTTTCTTGCAGTACACTGTTCACTTCTCTAGTGTACTCTTATTAAAAAGGTATTGTTTTCAGTCTATAAATAGAATGAAAAAAGAAGTGTCCAAATACAAACATTAACAAAAACAAGAAATAAAGAAAAGGAAAGAAAGAATATGTAAATCTGAAAACACTATTACTATCTATGTATGAACTGATATTTTATTGAAATTATGGGAAGTTGTGAACAATATTACTACATATAGTCAAGATTTTATTTATTAAGATTTGAGATTCTGAGAATATATTCTGAATTTTGCATTGTATCAAGTATGTTAAGGTTGCCAAATAAGATTATTATTCTGGACTTTTCTGAAGTATTTAATACAATAGCCATGTATTGTATTTTTTATAAGTTGAGCTGCCTGATACTTAACATCATTTTATTTTTCCTGGAAGCCAAATTTAAAAGATGTTTTTCAAATACAAATAGTTCAAATATATCTTAAACAATGGTATTTATTTTACATTTTACATTTTCTAATAAAGTAATTGTTTTTAACAACTTACAATTATAAAATTTATTTTTGTTATGTTATTCAATACAGGTTTTGAAAAGGCCAGAATATTTTGGAAAATTTGGTAAAATACACAAAGTTGTAATCAATAACAGCACATCATACGCAGGCTCACAGGTAAAGACATTGTTCTATACCTCTGAGGAAAAGAAGTAAATTCAATATTTCTGTGGAGTGTAAAGAGCTATGTGTTGGTATACCATTATTCATATTTTACTTAGTGATGTAATAACTAAAATGCAGTCAAATACACAACCTAGATTACTACAATATGATTTAAGAGGATTCTCAAATTATGGGCATTGTATAAGAATAGTTACAGAATTCTACTTATTTTGACTCAGTTAATGAATTATCATTTGGTATCGATACATATGTTCATATTCCATATTGAAGTGTGTGAACAATCACCATTGTTTAGTCAATACAGTCATTAATATACTAATTATTTTACATTTTCTAATAAGAAAGTAGTTGTTTTTAATTTTCCTCTCAGCTAGAAAATAATATATTGAGGAAATGCAAGCTAATGGCTAATCTGAATATTCAGATTCAGTTTTATATCGAAGTGTATTACTTGGTAGGACTGTGCAGCCTTCAAAAATCAGCAACTTTAAGAAGTGCCATGGTATACCTAATTCCCTTTGAATTGAAAGTGCTGCACAGTTGCATTATTTTGAACAATTGATTTTAAATGCTAAAAGAACAAATAGAATCCTAAGGAAACAAGTAAATCCAACTGCATAATAGAGACTTTTGATAATTATAGTGTTGGCATTTTCCTGACTGACCTACAAAATTACCGGTATATAAAAAATTAGGTAGTAATACTAGCACCCAAATCTGATATTTACTAGTTCAAATATCTCTTTAGTCATAAAACTAAAGGTGAATTTTGAGAAAATACTGTTTTTCCAAAAACTGTTTTTATGATTTTTAGGTGATTTGGTCTGTTGAATACATTTACACCTATGTGCAATGATCTTGAAACAAGAAATTAATTTTATTCTTAAGATTTGCAATTTTGTCACATTTTAAACATTTTTTATCTGTGTAATGAAGCAGAAATAGCTTTTAAGATATTTCTTGCCAGCAAGAATATTGATAAGTATTTAAGATTATTTTTTTCCATATAAAAATAACTTTGTTAATAAGCTTTATTTTTACATTGAGTTTAATTGTGCATTAATCATACATTGCAGTCCTAATTATTACTAATTTTAAAGTAAATAGTATTTTGGAAAACTTTATCTGGACTTAATTTTATAAATTAAGTTTTACTTAAGTTTTACATTTGGCTTTCAACTTCATAAAATTTTAAGTACTTAAGGATCTGACGTAATTTTTTTTAAAAATCTAGGGTCCAAGTGCAAGTGCATATGTAACATATATCCGGTCAGAAGATGCACTCAGAGCTATACAATGCGTTAATAATGTGGTAGTAGATGGAAGAACACTTAAGGTAATGTTAACAAATATTTTATAACTTTAGCATTTGCATCTGTATAAGAATTTACCAGATTTATCCAACAGAAAGACAAAGGAAGGGTTCTCTTACATTTGGCAGATAGACAGGCACTGTTGAAGGCAAAACTAATGGGTGGAAGATGCATTTATCTAGTTGAAAATACTGTGAACCAGTTGTCTGAAGATTCAGGTGAGGAAAAGAAGGTATTCATATTGCTTTTGCCTTGTTGAGGCACAGATTTTTCCAGAATCTTCATTCTAGATACAATGACTTTTGTTCATCCCTCCCATTTCCTGTCTAATTGTGGATGCTTACTGGAGAACTGGGGATGAGATGAATGTACTTTTATGCCAACTCAACTTAAATGGGAATAGACTATTGTAGGATTGATGATTGACAAGAACCAAAAATCTTTTTCATAATTTATCTGGGAGTAACAGCCATTGAATCAACGAGACAGCTGCTCAGAATCTCTTGGTTGAGTTGGGCTATAGAAATTGAAGAAATAAATAAATTCTTCAGAATAACATGCATACTTGGTAAGCTCAGTACAGATAGTACTCACTTAACAACCTTATTGGGACCAGCAACTCCTATCACTAAGAAAGTAAGTATAGCCCATGTAAAGTGTTTTTCTTCTTTAACATATATATGGACATAATGGTATTTAACATTAAACAAATTAATGGTGATATAATTGAACAAAAAACCCTGAGAAATTGGCTTTGCATTGAGTTATTCAACAAAACAGTAACAGATATGACATTTCCTTCTTTCCTTATGAAGGCAAGTCTACTTCTGCAATATATTGTTTGTTATCTTTGAAAATTGTTGACACACTACATCTTTCATCAGGCATCTTTAGGAACCACAAAGTACTGCAGTTATTTTCTGAAGAACATGCAGTGTCCAAAGCCAGACTGTATGTACCTACATGAATTAGGAGATGAAGCAGCCAGTTTCACAAAAGAAGAAATGCAGGTAGGTATTTTGAGGGTTAATGTTTTTGTCCTAACCCACTCCTCTCTTCAAAGATTGATCCTATATGACAAAATGGCTTACCTCCACCACGCCAATCATAATTGCTATATTTCAGATTTCCTAGAATCAAGGTTAAGAAAGAACGAGCTATAAAGCAGAATTATAAAATGAGCTGTTAAACACAATAAAGCACTAAAGGCTATAAGTATAATTCTCACAACATAATATAGCTGCTTTAAGCAGAACCAGTAAATAACTTTATGGGAATGAATCCAAATCACTGTCCCTGTAAATAAATAAAAAGATAATCAGATCTTCTGAAATGTGAAAGGTCTAGCTGAAACTATCAATAAGTTGAATGAGAATATTAATGTTTTGTAATACTTTTGTTTGAGAGGCCTGAAATTGTGACATTTTGGACAATATCACTAAAATGTAATTGTGTGATGGCCCAAAAATTCTGTTCTCTCCTCCTTGCCCCATTTTTTTTACTAATAATCTACTAATAAACAGATTTTGCTGTTGTCAGTTGACCCTGAAAGGCAAAATCTCTCCAACACTTCAATAAATTCACTGTCAAAATTAAATGAGTGCTTTCTGCTAACATAAAACTGATCAAACCAGGTATGGCAAGTTAGGAGTAAATCAGTAACTCAATAAAATCTGAATCAAATCACATGAGAGAAACAACGGTTTTGTTGTGTAGTTTGTTTTACAAAATTAAAATTTCCTAAAAGCTGAATTTTTTTTGAGTCTTAAAGGTATTGATCAAAATATATATTGATGAAAAATAAATTTGACATGTAAATATTTTATGCTAGAAATGGATAGATAGAGCACATTAATTGGGCAAAAAAGTTATATATCCATTTTTCAAAGGTTATGTAAGGATCTTTGCAATAGTTAACATCAATTGAAACTTGAATAGCAAACCTTATTTTTCAAATTAAAATTAGTACTCCCATTAAATCAGCATAAACTATTAAATTATAGATGTCATGGAGTGGACTAAAATTTCAGTATACTAGAAAACTCTAATTCAGTTTGCAGGTAGCCCTCATTTAGCTACCATTTGCAGTTATGACAGTTATGAGAAAGTAATTTTGAAATCAGTCCTTGCATTTTTACAATCTTTGCAGGAGTGGAAAGGAAAGGAAAGGAAAAATAAGATGATAAAATAGTTACGGTTTCACTTAGAGAATGCTTTACTTATTGACTGAATTGTCAATCCCAACTCTGCTTACTTAAAAAAATAAAGACTTTTTGTATAACAAACCAGATTTTCCATTTCTGACAATGATTTGTAATGATTTGGCACTCTTATACTATCTTATCCAAAATAGATATTGATTTGGGAAATTTTAAAATGACTTTATATTGTGCAGTAGTATTGTATGGAGATATTAGTATGTCATGGAATAAAGTATATGCTTCAGTTAATCAGGTTTTTTTTTTTTTTTTACTTCTGACTTTTCTTTCACTTCAGGCTGGCAAGCATCAAGAATATGAACAGAAGTTACTCCAAGAACTATACAAATTAAACCCCAACTTTCTCCAGTTGTCCACAAGTGTAGTTGACAAGAACAAAAACAAAGTGACTTCTCTACAGAGGTATGATGTGTAAGTACAGGTTCTCTACCAGAGTTTTCTTGTTTTTCATCAAAACTCCTTTTCTTCTTGATCAATTTTACTTCATAACTTCTTAAATCAATATAGATGGAAAATTATTCTTTTTGCATTACTTCTGTCTTTTATATACAGTAGATGTGTGGAATATTTGCAATATGTACATATGTTTATTAAATTTAAAATTTTTTAACAGAAAATTGCCTTTCTGTTAGGCATGTATACATTTACATAGAATGTCACAGACATAACCATGCTGATAGGTTTTTGGGGCATAATCCGAATTCATTTCCGTTTTGACTGATGTTCTGAATAAATGTTTTATAAACTATTATTATGAAGTAGACCTGGTCTTCAATTTGGTAATGCAAACTGAACAAATTGGTCAGACTTAGAAGAAGGTAATATTTCCACAGAGCCTTTGAAAAATAAAATTAATTTTCATGTAAATTTTCTTACATTTGGTAATGTAAGAATTTGAATTGTGCTTCTATGTATTTGAGCTATAGTATGTTGGTGATTTTTAGATTCTAGTACTTGAGAGGAAGTCTATTCAAATGTTCATTATCTGAAATTCTCAGCATATGCACTTAAGGGTAATTCTCCAGCAGATGTTATTTCAATAGTATCAGCTGCAACCAGCACTTTTCTTTGGTGTCAGTCCTAGTCAAGTGTCTTTTCTACATGCACATGCACATAAACGTTCAGATGACATGAGAATGCCTTCAAAGTGATTGTACTGAGCCTTCAAGTAGATGGAATACTTCAGGAATCAAGTTTAAAGTAATATTTTGGTTGTTTTGCAAACTGTCCTTCAAGTGGCTTACATAGTACTGCTATTTAACAGTTTGTGGGTCTCTTACTTTTTAGGGTAGTTTTCTCAAGTTAAAAGTTTCACTGACTATCTTAACATGAGTATATTGTTACTTAGGAACAAGTACCGTATTTTTTGGTGTATAAGACACCCCCCCCCCAAAAGTGAGTGGAAATGTCTGTGCATGTCTTATACAGCGAATGTTGCCGAAGCACCGCCCACCCGCCAGCCCCCACCCGCCGGCCTCTGCTTCCCAGCAGCAAACAGACTGGTCAGCTTCAGGACAGCCTGATTTAGTACAAGCAGCTGATTGGCAGTTGGATTGGCCTCCCGGAATACCGCCTATCGGTTGTTCCAGACTGCGGGGATCACCACCGCCATTGCTGCCTATCGCTGCTGCCACCTATCGCCGCCTCCACACGTCCCATTTTCGGCCTCTGCATGTCCCATTTTTGGCCCGTTCCAGGTGGCGGGGATAGATGGTGGCAACAGCGATCCCCACCGCCTGGAATGGGCCAAAAAGAGAACACGTCGAAGCCGAAAACGGGGCGCGTGAGGCAGCCATAGGCAGCAGCCGCGATGGGCGGTGACTATAGTGGCGATCCCTGCAGCCTGGAACAGCCAATAGGCAGTATTCCGGGAGGCCAATCCAACTGCCAATCAGTTGCTTGTGCTGAAGCTGATCAGGCTGTTTGCTGCAAGGAGGTAAATTTCACAGAGGCAGAGGCAGATTTTTTTCCCCTTGTTTTCCTCCCCAAACCTAGGTACATCTTATACTTCGGAGCGCCTTGTAGTCCAAAAAATACGGTAATTGTATGCTTAGAAAGTATTGTGTTAAAACATTTGTTAAATACAGTTTTAATTAATCTTAGAGAAAGCAAAATAATAGTATAATGATTGGATAGGGTTGGATGGTGATCAAGAATAAGTTCTTTTTTTTAAATGACTTGGTAAAAATACTTTTCAAATAAACTTTCAGATAGCAGGGTCTTATATTTCTTTGTCATTTTGTCCCGTGTTGATTCAGAGGATCAGCATTATCTTGAGAAATAATTAAAGGAACCTCCGTTTAGGAAAGCTGATGAGATCTTTGTAAAGTTAAAAACGTATTAACAAAATTTGTAATAAGTACAGTGTAGACTTTTCTTCTTAATCCAAGCGATTGATTTCAAGTGAACAGGAGAATCAGCTTGATCTTTTTAATTTGCGTGTCTTGTTTGGATAATGTTCTATCTAGTTATACTCTATTTAATATCTGTCTCAAGAGAGAAATATATATCGAAGGAAACATCAACTGAGGTTAAAATTCAATTTTCTCACAAAATGAGTTGGATTATAAGAAAAGGAGAAATAACAGCATTGAATTCTGAAATGGCAACAAATTCTGATGTGGCCTGTCGCAACAAAGAAGGAATCTAAAGCTTCATAATCTTTTTGTAGAATTGACTGACATCAAACTAGCATATGTGATATATTTATTTGACCCAAGATATATTCTCTTAATTTATAGATTTTATATTTATAAATATAGTTTATAAATTTTTATGCCACCCAGCATTTAAGTCTTTATTATCAGACTTTAAAAGAAAGCAAGCAGCGTGAAAGTGAATCAAAATAAATCCTAGAGCAGTGATGGCTAACCTTTTTGCCATTGCGTGCCAGGTGGGCGGGACGGGGGATGTTCATGCGTGCGCGTGCCCACATCCATAATTCTATGCGCCCCGTCCCGCGCATGAGTGCGTGACCCCCCTCCCCCCCACTCCTGGCACGCGATGGCCTGGTAGGCCCATTTTTCTTTCTCACCTGGCCCCAGATACTCTCGATACGTCTGGGGAGGGAGAAAACAGCCTTCCCCACCCCCTCGAAGGCCCGAAACGGCCCGTTTCCCAACTTCCGGTTGGACAGGAAGTGACTTTTTTGCTGTCCCCAGCCTCCAGAACCTCTCTAGGAGTCTCTGGAGGCTGGGGACAGCAAAAAACATCACTTCCTGTCCAACTGGAAGTTGGGAAACGGATCATTTCAGGTCTCCGGAGGGCCTCCGAGGGGGTGGGGAAGGCTGTTTTTGCCCTCCTCAGATGCATAGAGAAGATTTGGAGCCAGGTGAGAAAGAAAAATGGGCCTTCCCCACCACTTCCCAGGCCTTCTGGAGGCAGGAAACAGCCTGTTTCCCTACTTCTGGTGGTCCCAGAAGGCCCGAAAATCAGCTGGCGGGCACGCGCATGCGCGCCGGAGCTGAACTGGCGTGCCCAGGTGGCATGCGTGCCATAGGTTCACCATCATAGCCCTAGAGACTAGTAAGCTGTTCTTGGTAGCATTTTTTTTAAAAAAAGAACTGAGTTTAGCTCTTTAACTTACTTATCTTTGTTCCTAAAAGAAGCGCTATTAGGTGGCGGGCAGAGATGGCCTTCTTCTCAAAATACCAATGTAATTAGTGCCAAATAATATTTCATTAAGATTTTTGATACATGTATATGTATATATTGTGGAAAAGTCACTACAGAAATTGCCTGTTCTTCTGTAGGAACTGTCAAATTCCTACTTTCTGTTTAAAGTATTTTTAGGAAGCCCATTTTATTAAAACCTTTCAGCAGTATCAATTATAAATATATTAATCTAAAACAGATTTTTAGGTATCAATTTATTCTGAACACGGGGCATTTTTAAGCAGAGATTAGGATAACTGATAAATAATTTGGGAGATTATCATTCTCCATTTGAAAAACGTAACTGAAGCATTTGTGCTGTTTTTATCTTCTTCCATTGCTGGAGAGGATAAAGGCACTAATGAAGAAAAACAGTGAATAGATCCCAAAAATGGAAAACTGTAAAAGAGTTTTTTGTTCCATTACCAGCTTATATAGTTTTAAAATGCATATATACATATTCATATTGATTTCTTTTAAACCATTTTGAGAATCCAGAACTTTCTATATAAATCAATGCTGGAGCATATACAGGTAGTCCTTGATTACGATCATAATTGAGCCCAAAATTTATGCTGCTAAGTGAAACATTTGTTAAGTGAGTTTTGCGCCATTTTACAACCTTTTTTGCCACAGCTGTTAAGTGCATGACTTCAGTTGTTAAGTTAGTAACACAGTTGTTAAGTGAATCTGGCTTCCCAATTGATTCTGCTGGTCAGAAGGTTACAAAAGGTGATCACATGACCCCGGGACACTGCAACCATCATAAATATGAGTCAGTTTCCAAGCAACTGAAGTTTGATCACGTGACCATGGGGATGTTGCAATGGTCATAAGTGAAAAACGGTCACTTTTTTCAGTGCCATGTTACTTTGAATAGTCACTAAATGAAATGTTGTAAGTTGAAGACTACCTGTACACATACGTAACATGTAGTATAAGGTTCTGAAATCTTTTATTTTTTTCATACAAATAGCACTTTCTAAAAGTAACAAGGAAAAACTACTGGATCAGCAAGCAGAAGAAAACAGCTATAATCATGTTTCTTTTAATATGAACAGAAGTTCATGTATTCCTATGGAAATCATCTAAATATCTAAAGATGATGTTATAAATTTTATTTAAACTGTTAATTCCTTTTCCATTCCAGAGGAGCCTAATTCATTTAGATGTGCTTATTGGTAAAAGTATTGGGGATTAAAAGATGGGAAAGGGTTAAGAGCAAGGTAGGTTAGCTGGGGTTTACAATAACTAATACAGTTTAGAAGTATGCAGCCGGCACAGGGAAAATTCGTGTTGAGACTGTAGGCATACAGTTTATCAGATGGAAGATGAACCATATTCAAGAAGTAATAAAAAACAATGTGAAGTCTCAGGATTCTAAATTTTGATGGTCAGATTTGCCTGGACCATTACATATTCACAAATACAAATGTAACTATTTTACCTAATGCAACCCTTCCTCACTTTTACTTCTGCAGTGTTATATGCAGACACTACAATTTGAGTTAAAGATTTTCCTGTTCCTCAGCATCATTTAAGGAATGAGGAATAATTTCCCCACTGTTTCAGTTTTAAGATTTTCTCTATAACTTGAACTCTCTTTTACTTTCACCTCTTTCCAGACCCAACAGTAATAACAAAGATGCCTGGCCATCATTACAGAGTTCAAGTAAATCAGTCAACGGCTTAACAATGGAACACAGGAAAACGCCTCCTATTTTAGAAAATGGTACAGACCCAGAACACATGACTCCAGATGGTCCAGATTCAGATTTCGGGTAATTGTGCTGCCTTTTATACTTCAGTTAGTTTTCTTTCTCTCTCACTGTTGTGGAGGGATGATTTTTTTCCAGCCTCTGTCTGGAGAGCTGAATTCAAATGCTGATAAAATTATAAATAAATATGGTTGCCCCAGTTGATTCTTAATCCTAATGTGGATGAAAAAAACTGTTCATTATTCAATGAGCAGCTTTTCAGTAGATGCCTGTATAAAGGTAAGGGTTGCAAATGAGATGAAACATTTTTAAACAATCATTGACATCAGCATTCTAGGAAAGGATAATATCACAGTTCAACAACAAACTTGTATTGCAGCGTAAGAACTCTGATTTCTGGTGACCTTTACTTAAGTGGTTTAAATATTTTGAACCAAATGTAAAAATAAAAATATTCACTATTATTATATTAGTATTACACAAATATGGCACTGTACTGAGTTGCATTAACTTTTCCCATTCCTAAAAGTTTCTAGATTTCTAATTGGTATTTTAGAAATCTCTGGCATCACAAATATTTTGTACAGGTTTTTATATATTGGATTAAAAGTGCATATTGTAAAGTACATTGATGTAGCTCAATTTGTATATTTCATGTTGCAGTAATACTGTGTAATAAGGAAACAAATAATATGAGGTCCAATACACAAATTGCTCAATTACGTTAGTAGTAATAGATGAACAAATGAAGTGTCTTTTATTTCAATAGTTACTCTTGCATTGAATGAATGCTTCATATCTATGATGATATTTGAACACTTCAGGATGCACCATTCCTGTAGAAGAATATATCCGTGACACCACTCTTCATTTGACAAAGCATTTTATGTTCTTTTAATGTCCTACCTAGAAGCAAGTAGTCTATTTTATATTGTATTAATTGTAAATGAATAGATATCTACTAAAATGGGTTATAAAATAGTGTAGTAATGGTTTGTGACTGTTAATTTATTTCAGGTATAAGCATAGGAAATATACTGAAAATATTTTAAAGATTAAATGCAATTTCAGCTGAGCAGGAACTTCACAGCCATATATAAAATGAGGCTTTTCCTTCTTCCTATCCTCCCATTGTATTATCTTGGTCAGGTATGGCTAACCTTTTCCGAATGCGCGCGCATGCCTGAACCCCCAAAATGTAATGTGTGCATGCCCCTGCGCATGCCTGCGTGCCACATGCAAGCACGTGCAGTACCCTGCACGCACCCCACACATGCACAGCAGAGACCCGAAGATCAGCTGGTCGGCGGGAGGCGTGCACATGCGCAGCAGAGCTGAACTAGGGTGATGGCTCACGTGCCATCAGAGAGGGTGCTGTGTGCCACCTCTGGCACATGTGCCAGAGGTTTGCCATCACGGATCTAGGTTATGGAAGGAAATGGAAAGAAAAATGACCAAGTTTTTCTGTTAATGCTTTTGGCTTGAGAAATAAAAAATATATTTTGATAGATATCCAGCATTTCATCTAAATCGGGATTGTAGTTTCAGATGTCAAGATTGCATGTAAACCTATCAAAGGTTTCAGTGTGGCCTCCTCAGCCCCCCTCCAAATATCAGCAAAAATCCAACTTTTTCATGATTATATGATGGAATAAATTTCAACATTAAATCTTGAGTAACTGAAAAATACAATCTGCTCCAATTGAGTTTAAACATGTTTAGAAAGTGTTAAATGACAGAAATGTAATATATACTTTTTTATATCTCTTCCAGTTTACTCCTGTATATGAAATAAATTTCCAAGTTACCTTTTGTCTTTCTTTTTGCCAGTTAAGTTTGGAATAATCAGGTTCCAAAAAGGTCACTAAAATTAGGTAGTGAAATGCTATTTTATTTTAAATAAAAAGTAAAGATAAAGGAGTCCCTGTGGATTTTATTCCACTAGTTGTAGCTGACTTTAGGAGGCGTGGCTCATCTCTGTTTTTTTTAAACCATTGAGCCAGAGCTGTCCAAAGATATTTCTATGATCATATGGTCAGCATCACGCCGCAGCACAAAGCATACAGTGAAACATCTTCCCACCTAAGTGATACCTATTTATTTACTTGCATTTACATGCTTTTGAACTACTAGGTCAATGTTGGCAACCCTTTTCGTGCACGGGGGAGCGCCGGAAACTGGAAGAGCAGCTCCCCAGCGCACATGCGCTGGAAACCGAAACAGCAGTTCCCTGGTGCGCTGGGAAGCTGAGCTTCCAGTTTCTGGTGTGCGCATGCACACCAGTCACCTGGTCTTCCGGTTTCTGGTGCGCATGCATGCACAAAGATCAGCTGGCCGGTGCGCATATGTGCGCTAGAAACAGAAGCTCAGCTTCTCGGTGCACGCATGTGCACCAGGGAGCTGCTCTTCTGGTTTCAGGGCTCCTGCGCATGTGAAGACCAGTTGGCCGGCGTGCATGTGCACGCCGAAACCCAGAAGAGCAACAGGTGACTGCTGGCGTGTCCGGAGAGATGGGTCTGTATGCCACTTCTGGCACGCGTGCCATAGGTTCGTCATCACGGTGCTAGGTAGGTGCTAGGCAGCTGATGCAAGGGAACTCACTCCATCACACAGTGGTAGGACTTGAACCGCTGGAGTAATATACCTTCTCCACTGACTTATGCACTTAAGCCACTTTTTTTATTATAAATAAATGCACTTGAAAATAAATACTATTGATATTCCCCAGTTTATGACCACAGTTGGGACCAGAATTTTGGTTGCTAAGTGTGATGCAGTTAGCAAGTCATCATGTGACCAGACCAGATTTTACAACCAGTTTTACTATGATCATTGAGTGAATCACCATGGTTGTTAAGTGAATTGCACAGCTGGGAGAGTAATGACTTTTGCTGCCCTAACTAGATTCAGTGAAAGCATAGGCTTGGGATATATAGGCTTAGAGCATTAAGACACTTTTTGAAATATAAACTGTTGTAGATTTAAGATTAGACTTTATTGTGAGAATAATTTACGAAGTTATTTTATATTTCTGAGGGGTGCCTAGGTTCAGTGCTTCATTTAAATATTTTCACTTTAAAAATAAAATATTTTTGTTTTTATTATTACAAACACAAAATCATCTAACAGTTTTCTTAGTTTAAAGTTATTTTTAATTTGAATATCAAAACTCATAGTGTTAGAATCATTTGTTGGTTTGTTAGTAAAATTTATATTATTGCCCATCTCACTGCAGGCAATTCTGGGTGGCATAAAACAATTTTTAAAGAATTTTTTAAAAAACATGTCAGGAGTGGAAAGAATAGTTTTATGTCTCGCATTAGGATGTTTTGCCAGTAATTAGGATTTATATTATATTTTAAAAGTACTAAAACCACTTTTGTGACAATTGGATCAATTTCAAGAAAGACAATTTGAATGTTGAGGTTTTTTGTTCTACTAATTAATAGTTTTTGCTGTTCCTTCGTCTTACTAGCTTCGCATATTCTTTATAAAGAATTTATAAAGTTTAATATTGACCATATCATTTTCATCTATGAAATAGCTAATGCCATTCTTCAAAATATTAATAGTGAATATTGATCTGATTGTTTTCCATCCAGATTTTATATATTGCACTGTGTGATGATTAAATTATAGTTTTATTGTTACTTTTCTCTTTTAATCGTTTTATTAGACCATAGGATTTTAAATGTTACCATTGTTATGTGTTGTTGCAGTGATCGTTGCAGAGATATATTGTATCATCAATTGCATAGGATACATTCCAGCACAAGAATTGAGGTCTTCATAATTTAGTTTTTTAGAGCAGGGATCCCCAACCTCTGGGCCACAGACCAGTACTGGTCCATGACTTGTTAGGAACTGGGCCACGCAAGCGGTGGGTGAGCAAGCAAAGCTTCATCTTTGCATGCACAAGAACTAGGTTGTGCATGAAACCATCCCGCCCCGCCCCGCCCCCCGAAACTAGTCCCTTGGGCTAGGAAGGTTGGGGACCACTGCTTTAGAGGAAAATCTATTTTATCTATTTTTTCCAAGTATTAACTTAGTTCTAGTTCAACTCCCTTTATTCTCTCTTTATTCTTCTAATAACTAATCTGAAAAGCTCATATAACAATGTCCAAACGTGCTTTTCAATAGGCAACTGGTCTTTCTTCGTTTTTTTTCTTGAAAATGTTTCTCTTCTCATCCAATATGTTTCTTCAGTTCACCAAATTCAGTTCTTGGATGAGAAGTGTTTTCAAAGAAAAAAACAAAGTCCAGTTGCTTTTTGAAAAGCACCTTTGTGACAATCATGATCTGGATGATTGAGAATCTCCATAGACTGTGTATATTAAAAATACTTTTTCCTCCAGTGAATTGTGTACAAATCAGTAAACAACAAAATGAAAGTAACATGTTCTGGATTATATTGGTACTGGTATGTGTTTGGATCACTATCTTGTTTGAATAAATAAGGGATAAAAGAGGGGAGCTTTGTTACAGTTTTAAAAATATGGACATTTAAAATGTGTTTATTTAAATGCTTGCTTGTTTAAGAGAGAATAGTATAGTACAGTACTGTATTCAAATACAGGGTTAAAGCAGAACATTCCAAGACTTCTTTTGTCTGCCCTTCAGACAAAGACTAGGACACCAGAGTTATGAATGATAATACTACTTTTATTATAAGGTTATAGTAATAGAATCTTATAAATTTGAGTGCATTTCCCCCATTTTCCCTTTATTTTTATGAGAACTAGGGAGGTCATGTCTGAGACACTTTCTCAAATTACTTTTCTGTCCCAGACACAGATTTCACTTTTCTGACCATTGTCTTGGTTAAAGTTCTCCATCTACTTTTCCAGATTATGACTATTACCCATAAGATCGTTCTATCCTCAATAAGATTTAAGGAAATCTGTATTGTTAGTAACTAATTTGTTACTTTATGGAAAATTTACTATTTACCTGAATTACCTGGATGATTTTAATTGTACTTGTGGCTTAAATTAGGTTCTAGTAATCATTACTGCAGTTGATGTTACAATGTGAAGACAGCTGTAACTTTTGCCAGCTTTATTTCATTGCTTATAATATATCACTTGTTAGGATTGGCAAGATAATTTTTTAAATTAAGGACTCAGATTTAAGTAATTTTCTTTGAACCTGGAAGGTGAGAGAAATCACAGAATTTACACCAAATTAGGCCTTTACAGACTAGGGTAGATTTGTACTTATTTTAACATGTTCTATCAAACATTACAATATTTTCAATGCTTTTATTATGTTTGGATTAAAAATGTGTTAGTATTTAGGTTGTCGTACCACTGCCCTTATCAGAGAAGCACTTCAGAATTCAAGTACTCCTTTACCTATTGTTGGAAATGTTAAATTCAATTTTGGGGTGTCAAATTCCTTTTTTCCACTATTCATATCACAGATTAAAATCAATATTTCTGACTAAGGTATTTTTTGAATGAAGTTATATTTGAAGGCATTTATGCAACTTTGTGATAGAGATGCATTCCATCTTCAAGTCACAAAACCACCTAGTTTTATTTTAATCTTAATTTATTAACGTTAATTAACAATTACATGTTAATTTATTAACTTTAATACAATATGTCTAACCAGTGATGTTCAGTATTGTATCTCTTATCTATAGCTTCTACCAAATCAATGATGTAGTAGGCTATGTACTATTCTTCTGCTGAACAGCCATGACAATGAATGTGTTTCCTGATAAATTTATTTGGATTAGTGGAAGAGCTCTATACAGGCAGATAGGTATAGCTTAATTCCAGTTAAAAACACACATCCAGCATGTGTACCTACATAATCTTTTTTGCTCGCTTGATTCTTTATAGTGCTTGATTCACTATCTGCATTTGACCTACATTACTGTAACTCGTTCAAGCCACTCTTTCCCTATTTTTATGAATCACAGCATCATCCATGTATTGTATTGATCTTCCCTTGTTTTTTCTGTTACAGTGGTTTTTCAAGTTAATTTACCTGTGGAGTAAATTTGTGAATGGCAGTTTTAAGATGCTCAGATTACTCCAGTGTTCCAAATAGCAATAGCACTTAGATTTATATACTGCTCCACAGTGATTTACAGTGGTTTGCATTGTCAATATATTGCTCTGAACAATCTGGGTCCCCGTTTTACTGATCTCAGAAGGATGGAAGGCTGAGTCAACCTTCAGCCTGTCAGGATTGAACTTCTAGTATTGCAGAGTTAATCTGCAATACTGCATTCTAACCATTGTGCTACCATGGGGCTAGAATTGCTATAAAGAGACATCACATAAAAAATATAACTTTTCTGTTAAAATAAACGATTCAAAGAGACTTGGATTAATTTCAATTCCTCCTGCCTCTTCCAAACTAGTATACTAGTTTGGTATACATTTAATATTAATACCAGAATCTCTTGACACATAAACCATCAGTCTGAAATCCAGTGTTATCTCATTTATCAATCTGAAAATCACATTGAGAGCTTTTCCATTCATTTATTTACTGGACTGATATCTCACCTTAGATTCAAGAGTTCAAGACAGCATAAGACAACTACTTTTCCCAAACAAAATTTGAGGTAGACTGGGCTGACAGACAATTACTAGCCCAATGTCACCCTGACAGTTTATGTGATTGAGAGGGGATTACAACCTGGGTCATTCCATTCCTGATTTAATCTGTAGGTCACATTAAAAAAATACTTGCAAATAAATTTCTATTCTAATAATTACAACTGGAATTGATTGCACATAAGGTTTAAATAATGAAACAGGACAAGAAGCAATGGATGGAAACTAATTAAGGAGAGAAGCAACCTAGAACTAAGAAATTTCCTGACAGAACAATTAATTAATGGAACAATTTGCCTCCAGAAGTTGTGAATGCTCCAACATTGGAAGTTTTTAAGAAGAGATCGGACAACCATTTGTCAGAAATGGTATAGGGCTTCCTGCCTGAGCAGGGGGTTGGATTAGAAGACCTTCAAGGTCCCTTCCAACTCTGTTACTCTGTTAACTTTATGCAGTTTAACTCAGGATATTTCTAATTGAATTTTTCATTAAGTAAAGTTAATGAAATTCAAAAGTAAAGCAAATATGCAAATAGATACATAAAATAGTTACTAATAAACAATACAAAGTTCTCTTTAAAGTAGTAAAAGGTTTTAATTACTTCCTGTAATTTACTTCATTAAACTGATTTTGTATCATTTTCCATTTGCTTAAGTATTGTTTCTTTTCTCTAGCTCTATTGACAAGCCATCAGATTCTCTCAGTATAGGAAATTGTGACAACTTACAACAGGTAAGATTCTAACAAGTGCTTCTGAATTTTGTTAGCTACATATTTTTGTAATTATAACTAATATGTGACAAAGAGAGACCTGCTGTATGTAAAAATATATGTCTTTAATTTAAACTTAGAATAAATACAGTAGATTTTTTTGCTCAGCTGCCAAATTTTTAGAAATGATTTAAAAATATCTATATACTACTGAAATTCTTGGGTCTGTTTGAATGTTTGTAACCTTCAATTGGGCAAAACCGTGCATCATAGAAAACTTTTTGAATTTATATACCTCAAATGGACTAATTTACAGAATACATCCAAAACCCAGGACCTTTCTGTGGTATTGAAAGTTGGCAAAGTTGTGACTGCATTTGTGCATTTCCAATACTCCCTGCCCATTTCCCAAAAAAAGTCAATGAGGAAGCTGGCAGGAAGTTGGAAGTCACTTGTTTTGTTTTGTTTTGTTTTTGTTTTGCCCACCCATGGTCATTCCGTTTCTCTGTTTAAGTAATATATCTGAAACAATGATCCAATGGGTCATGGGTTATCTAGTATGCTGATAACATTATCCAATTTTAGCACTTGGATTGTTGTGTTGTTTTTTATTTTGTGAGCTGCCCCGAGTCCTACGGGAGAAGGGCAGCATATAAATTTGATAAATAAACAAACAAATAAATAAATAAATAAATCCTCTCTAAAAAAATTTTATTTTACGGTTGTAGCATAGTTTACAAAACTGAATCTTATTTTGCCTGACCTTTTCCTCTCAGATATCAAATAGCGACACACCATCACCACCTCCTGGTTTATCAAAATCCAATTCAGTCATCCCAATCAATTCATCCAATCACAGTGCACGTTCTCCATTTGAAGGAGCTGTAACAGAGTCACAGTCCCTCTTCTCAGACAACTTTCGGCATCCCAACCCAATTCCAAGTGGACTCCCACCATTTCCCAGCTCCCCACAGACGTCCAGTGACTGGCCCATGGCACCAGAACCACAGAGTCTCTTCACATCAGGTAATATAGAGGGAGATTGGGTTTGTTTTCTAAATATGATAAATAAATAATTATAATATGTAGTATAAGAATAATTATTAATAAATATTTGCACATTGTAATTTGAAATAGTAGTTTGGCTTATTTTCACTTCTAAAGTAAATCATGATTACTTATTAAAAGCCATGTAAAGATTTTCTGTGTGGGTAATGATAAACTTTATTAAAGAAATGAACATTGTATCTTATATTAACAGATACTTTCTTAAAATAAAATTTAACATATGAAATTATACATATGAATGCAGTATAATTTAACATCAGGATTAATTAGAATATTTTCGTTATAATTACAGTGATTTACTTAATTTATATATCATAGGCTTTGTTACCTGGCATTAATATATTTAAATATAAATCTCTGAGGAATCATGCTTCTATATTACAGATGTCAAATTGGATTATATCATGTGACATATCATGACATATCACGACGTATTTTGCCTTTGCGGAGCCAGGGTGGGCCTGGCTTGCGCATGATGCATCAAGCCTATCGGCCGTCAGTTTGACACCCCTGTTCTATATGAACAACACAAATTGATGCATACATTTATTAGCCTAGAGCAGTGATGGCGAACCTTTTTCTCATTGTGTGCGTCTGCGCGCGTAATAGCGCAGCCCTTGACTTACAACCAATTGTTTAGTAATGGTTTAAAGTTACAGTGGCACTAAAAAGAAGTGAATTATGGCTTTTTTCACGCTTATGACCATTGCAGCATCCCCATGGTCATGTGAGCAAAATTTGGCCACTTGGCAACTGACCCTTATGGTTGCAGTATCTGGGGTCATGTGATCACCTTTTGTGATCTTCTGACAAGCAAAATCAATGGGGAAGCCATATTCACTTAAAAACTGTCACTAACTTAACTGCAGTGATTCACTTAACTGTGGCAAGAAAGGTCATAAAACGGAGCAAAATTCACTTAACTGTCTTGCTTAGCAACATAAATTTTTGGGCTCAATTGTTGTAAGTCGAGGACTGCCTGTACAACCTCAGCTGATACAGCTGACTTCAGAATGTTCCTTTTTTGAAAATTCACCCCCTAATACAGTAGTTCATTAGAGGCTGAAATTTAAAAAAAAATATTTTAACAAATTTAAGGTATTTGTGTTTTATCATGAAAATAATAAAAAGTCTCATCTCACAATAAAGACTTGCCAATTTATTACCATTTAAACTTTGGTAGATCATAGTCAAGTTGCATTTAATGAAGTGGACTGTGTCTTATATAACAGTAAGCTGTATATTCTTTAAAGACTCTGTTTTAATCTCATTAAATATAATATATTTACATAACTAATCAGAACTGAAACAGCTATGGTGATTTATTTGCTATGTAATTTAGTTTTAGAATGTTTTATACATAACATGAAGTAGTAGTTTATTTATCCTATATGTGACAGGAAATAGAGATTGTCCTTGCTTATTGATGGTAATTGGGACCAGGAATGTCATCAATAAGCGACGTGACCATAAAGCATGACATTTATCATGGCAATTCTGGCTGTCCCAATTGCCATCATCAAGAAATCCTACACTGTTGTAACATCCCACATTATGTTATCACCATTTGCATCCTCCTGTCGGGTTCCCCATTGACCAGCAGTGAAAGTCAGAAATGATGATCGTGACCATAGGACTCGGTGACATCATAGTTGTGAGCCAGTTGTTGAGCACCCAAATAAAGCCCCCCTTTACAGTTCCATTGTGACTTGGAATGGTTGCTGAACAAATGCTACTTAATTGACTACCTGTACAGCCATCTTCCTGCTCTCCGTTTAGCCTTGCATTTGTTTCTAAATATGTTACAAATATAATTCTATATACCATAAACTAAGTCCTGCTAGTGTCAATGGAAATTAATAAGTATGTTTTTGTACTAAATATGTTATAGTTATGCAAATGACAAAAATGCTAAAGTTCTCTTCATTTTGGGGAGTTACAAAAAGAAACACTTCTTTGAATCCAAATGTAAAGATTTTCATGCACAACAGGGATGAGGGTAAGAAAATAAATAAAAAACTTGTAAATAGTTTGATATAGGTGGATTGAGAAGGCATTTATCTCTCCTCTCCTCAGAAACCATCCCAGTATCCTCCTCTACAGACTGGCAGGCAGCATTTGGATTTGGTTCATCCAAGCAGCAAGAAGATGACTTGGGATTTGATCCCTTTGATATCACCCGCAAAGCCTTAGCAGACCTGATTGAGAAGGAACTGTCAGTTCAAGATCAACCGTCTCTCTCACCAACATCTCTTCAGAATCCTTCCTCACACACTACAACTGCCAAAGGGTCAGGATCTGGATTTCTGCATCCTGCTACACCCGCAAATGCCAATTCTCTCAATAGCACATTTTCCGTCTTGCCACAGAGGTTCCCACAATTTCAACAGCATCGAGCAGTTTATAATTCCTTCAGTTTTCCAGGCCAAGCAACTCGCTATCCTTGGATGGCCTTCCCTCGCAATAACATCATGCACTTGAACCACACAGCAAATCCCTCTTCAAATAGTAATTTCTTGGACTTAAATCTCCCACCTCAACACAGCACAGGTCTAGGAGGGATTCCCATAGCAGGTAAGTGCCTTGAGTCAGGCAATACATTTGAGTCATATCTTCAGCTTTTCTAAATCAGGATAATAAGAAAGAATGGGAGGGGAAAATTGTTTGTTTGTTTGTTTGTTTGTTTATTTATTTATTTATAATATTTGGTAGACCACCCCAATTAGAAAGATTCTAGGTGGTGCATAACTTGGAGAAAATTGTTTTCATCAAGCCTATTAAAACATTAAAGTCCACAAAATACAGTCAGAAGGTCACCTGCAATTGCACTCTTAAGTGAAACTCGTATTAAAATGAAATGATGATCAGGATTTTCCAGAATACAAGGAGGCTTAGAACTAACTCTACTGCTGGGTTAATTAAGCATGTTCCATAGTGTGGTGGGTACTACTGAGAAGGTCTGCCTTCCAGCCCATGACTTGATGTTTGTTACTGAAGAGTGGTATAACTGGCATACTGGGAACATGTTTTTTTTACATTTCTGAAGAGAAATATTAAATTTGAATTTAGCCTTCTAATTATGAGCTTTATAAGAAAAGTGGAGTATTCCATGTCCAATAATTAATATTTTAAGTTTTATAATTTGCCTTGACTTCTTAGTAATGCTATAGAATTGATTTTTATTTATAGTTTGAGATATATTTCAACATCTAAACATTTGCCCTGGCCTACTCATTATACCTGGAGAACATAATAGCAAATCAGTAGTCATATCATTTACCACTTTCAGCATCTGAACAATGAGATCTAATATTGTTGAGATGGCAGAAACAACTGGTACCAAATGCTTTATGAATGTAATTACGGTATATAATGTCTATACTGTTCAGTTTGACATTTAACCAGAAAATTAACTATCTAGATTTTTATTTGTATATCTATTACATTCCAAATTGCAGTGAAAATGTTGAAAGTAGAGCACATTCTAGTTAACATACACGAAGAAGTATGATTGGCAAATCATAATTTTGTTGAATTCAGAACAAAATTTGGGAAATCATAATTCATAATGTTGCTTTTTTTAAAAAAATATTTTGTGCATAGCAATCGCATTCTCACTTAGGAGTAATATGACTTGGAGATAACATTTTATTTTTCTAAACTATCATGAAACTCTTGGTTTTCTTATAAATATTTTAAAATAACTAGGAAAACTAACATTTTTACTTGATATCATTTTATTAATAATTGAAACATTAAAAAGTTTCAATTTTCAAATATCTTTGTCTTCACTTGCTTTGTCTACAAAAGGGGTACTTAAAACTGGCCTGCGGTGCCAGTCTGAAAATAGCAAAGGACTGGCCCGCGGTACCTCTGGCAGCCAAAACAGGGCGCAGGGAGCCATGTGTGCCCCCTGCGCCCTGTTTTCAGCTTGGATGGCCCCCTGAAGCACTCTGACGGCCAAAAGCCCACCCCCACCCACCCACCCCAGACGGCCCGTGAGGAGAACTACAATGCTGATCCGGCCCTTGAAGAAATCCAGTTTGACAACCCTGGTCTACAAGTTCTTTGGTACTTTAATTTCAGGTTTTAGCCCGCCTCATTTTAAAAATCAATATCTACAGTGCATATAAAACATCTATACACACATGCCAGGGTTTTTGAGCTATAAAACAAAAATCACACCACAATAAATCACTTCAGAATTTTTTCCACATATAATATATAAACTGTCCAATTCAATTGAAAAACAAGCTGAAATCTTTTAAGGGGGAAAATAGCAATAAAACCTTACAACAACATGGTTTTATAAAGATTAGTTTAAGATGCCCTTAAACTAATACATTGTTGAAGCACCTTTTGATTTTATGACAGCATTTAGTCTTTTTGGGCAAGAGCCTATCAGCATGGCGTATCTTGCCTTGGTAATCTTTGCCAAAGTACAGGGCAAAATCCTTGAAAAAGTGCTCCAAATCTATCAGATTACAAGGGCATCTCCTGTACACAGCCCTCTTTGGGTCACCCCACAGGTTTTCAATTGGATTCAGGTCTGGGCTCTGACTGGTAAAACTTCCAGAACTTTGATCTTCTGGTGAAGCCATCCTTTTGTTGATTTGGAGGTAAGCGTTGGGTCATTGTTGTGTTGAAAGATGAAATTCCTCTTCACCTTCAACATTTTAGCAGAGGCCAGAATGTTTTGTGCCAAAATTGATTGATACTTGGAAGTATTCATAATTCTCTCCACCTTGATTAAAGCCCCAGTTCCAGCTGAAGAAAAGCAGCCCCAAGCATAATGTTGCCACTATTGTGCTTCATTGTGGGTACGATGTACTTTTGGTGATGCACAATGTTTTTTGCACCAAATATACCTTTGGGAATTATGGCCAAAAAATTCAACCCTGGTCTCTCCAAACAATAACACATTTTCATACATGCTTTTGTCAGACTGGATGTAGGTTTTGGAAATGTAGCTGGGCTTGGATGTTTTTCTTTGTAAGAAAAGGTTTCATCTTGTCACCCTACACCACAGCTCAGACATATGAAGAATCCGGGACACTGTTGTTACATGTAGTATATAACCAATACTCACCAGAAATCCCTGCAACTCCTTTAATGCTACCATAGGCTTCTTGGCAGTCTGTCAGATCAGTTTTCTCCTTGTTTTTTCATCAATTTTGGAGAAACGTCCAGTTCTTGGTAATGTCACTGTTATGCCATGTTTGCCCCACTTATCGATGACTGTCTTCACTGTGTTCCATGGTACATCCAATGCCTTGGAAATTTTTTGTACCCTTCTCCTGACTGATATGTTCCAACAAAGAGTTTACAAAGCAACCTTTGTAAGCTCTTTGCAGACCACAGCTATCGCTATAAGAGGCAGTTGAGAAAATGTCACAAAACTCTTACAACTAGAACAACTGAACTTTTTGTGGGTTTGATCAGAGTCACTTTAACTGGTGGCAGGTATGTACTAACTACTATTTAATATAATTTTTAATATGATTAGTTAATTCTGAACACACTCACATCCCTACTTATAAGAGGATATGCAAACTACTACAACCACATTATTGTAACTTTCTCATTTTCCCCCTGAAAGATTATTTTTCAATTGAATTGTGGGAGAAAATTCTGAAGTGATTTATCTTGATTTTTAAAAATGTACATCTCAAGGACATGGTATTTTAATGGGGTGTGTAGACTTTTTATATCTACTGTATTTTATTCCAGTATCCAGAGTCTGTATAAACATTAAAAAGAAAAGATTCATGATTACAGAGTGATTGCTGATTTTAATGAGAACCCTGTCCTAATGAAATATGATTTAGGAAGAAGGACTGTACCAAAAAATAAACACCAGCTTGAGTGGAATAGGCTGTGTCTCAATGTCACCACTGGTATATTCAATCCTGAGCTCGGATATATCTCACTTCCATTAATATTAAAGGCAAAGTTAGGAGAAAGGTATTCTTATGGGGCAATATTCTATATATTCATTGATTCTCATTTGGATCTACAGAATTTATTAAACCATTGTTCCTCAAAATAAAAGTATTATATTTAAGAAGCTTGGATAATTCTAAATCCATTTAGCAACATAAATTTACATGTACTCTGTATTTTAAAACTGCATTTTTATATCCATTGTACAACCATACTTTCATTTGCCACCTGCCCAAATATACAGGTACGATATATATGTGGTTTTCCCACACGTTTAATCTTTCCCAAAATAAACTACATGTAATTGTTTTCTACAGTGCTATATGTTTTGTATTATATAAGATATAATTGGGAGATGACTGTCAGCCTTGAAGTTGTTAGAGTTGTATCCACTTCTGAATCAGGGTGTATTCTAGCATTTCAATAATTTGATGTTCTTTGTTCCTGTCTGGAGTACTCCAGACTTCTTTTATTTGTGCATTCATTCCTTAATTTGTGTTTTATTGTTTTAAAAAAGCCAATAAAATGTGATTAAATCGATACAAATCACTTACATTTAAAAAGTATTTCAATCTCTTTGTTATTCCCCTAGTGGAAAGTGTTAGAGATGCAGGTTTTTAAAAAAATAGGCAAGCAAAGAATTGAAATTCACTATTTTCACTATTGTTCATTAAGAACTGTTCCTATTCATTTTAACCAAGAAGAGAAAAAGATTCTCTTTTGCTTGTAGAATGTAAACTTTATGTTACGAATTTAAAGGCTTACGTCAAGATTATACAATCTTAGATTCCAGTTAAAGTGACGATTTTGCCATAATAGATTTGATTCTTTGAAAAAAGGATGAGGAAAAAGTGCCATTCTGATCTAGTATAATCTACTGTAATTTAATGCCATTAATGTATGTTCGAACACATTTATTCCAGGTTAGACATGGGTGTTTTTGTTCACCAGAGAATTTATTCTCCTTGGATTTATGCTGATTTCCACTAGAAAGGGTGAAACTATGATGAATTGGACAGTAGACTATTTAATTCTGTCTTTTTAAGGGCAATTTCATCACTAGTTCTAATTCAGGTTCACCATAAAAATCTAATGTTACATTTCATAATATATCTAGCGTGACTCTGTGACAACTCTGTGACCTGCTATGTTCACTTGCTAATACATGCTTCATCAAGTTCATATTAAGGAGCATGAGACCTATAGTTCATCTTTTGTAACAATTCATTTACTATCTGGGAAAATTTATTATATTGAAAGTAGCTTTTTTTCTATAGGAACAACACATTTGCAATATAGAGGATTTTTAAAAAATTCTTACAGACTATATGAGCTCCTAGAATGCTTTACTACTCTTTTTACACAGTAGTCATACCTCAGCTAAAAAAGTTTTTAAGCAGTTTTGAACAGTAATAAAAAATAACTCAATAATTACCATAAGTTATTGGTTCGATTTATTTATTGGTTCTATTTATATGCCGCCCTTCTCCGGAGTCTCAGGGCAGCTTACAATGCGTTAAGCAATAGCCTTCATACTTTTGTATATACCTGCTTAGTAGGGCTTTTTTGGCCCCCCCAAGCGGTGTTCTTTTTATACAAAGTCAGCTTATTGCCCCCACAATCCGGGTCCT